AGGAGGCTGGCGGTTCAAACCCACCAGCCACTCCTCGGAAGGAAGGTTGGGCAATCCTACTTCCGTAGTGATAACTGCCTCAGAAACCCAAGGAGGGGTCACTAGGCGTCGGGGCCGACTCGATGGCAAATAACAACAACACTCAAGAAAACAGTCACATATTAAGCTTCGTCAATCCCCTTCATCAGGTAGCACCTGATGATGGCTATAGCAGAACATGTTCTAGAAAAACTCAGAAGATCTGTTTCACAGTTCTAATTTTTACCACTTATCAGTTATACAAGTCTAGACAAATTATCTAGCCTCAGTTTCTATGGGGTACTATCTTACCTACCTTACTTACAATAAAGAGTTAATTATACAAAATAATTTATATAAAAAATATTTTGTAACATTTATAAAGATAAAGTAGTATTTTAATTATATATCACTTTCCAAGGCTAGATTCTGATAAGAAGAGACACTGCAAGATAGAGAGGACACAGAGTCTCCACAGGAAAATGTTACTTATCATATATATTGAGGAATAGGTTAAAACTCAGATCTCTCTAGGGCTATTTCTAACCACAGATTCCTTCCTGCTGCCTACAATCAGACTTAAAGTGCCAATTAGGTTTTTGAATTTTATAAGAAACAAAGTTTTCAAGGGAAGTGAGGCTCTAGTAAAAGACAAACTTATTTCAGTTCTAACATGGTTTAGCCAAGCGGTTCTCAATTAGGGGGCAAGTTTGTTCCTGAAAGAACACTTGGTAATGGAGTCCCTGGTAGTGTAAACAGTTAAGTTCTGAAATACTAACCCACCCAAAGGTGCCTCAGAAGAAAAGCCTGGCAATCTGCTTCCCAAAAGCCACAGCCATTAAAACCCTATCGAGTACAGTTCTTCTCTGAAACACATGAAGCCACCATGAGTCAGAACTGACTTGGCAAATGGTTAAAGACATTTTTGGTTGTCAAAAATAGAAACTACTAGCATCTCCGATCACTAGAAAAGGACATATCTGGCAAAGTAGAGGGTCAATAAAATGAGGAAAATCCTTAATGAGAGAAAAATGACACAACAGCTGACAACAATGGAATTAAATATAACAACAATTATGAAAATGGTACATAACCAGGCAAAATTTTGTTCTACTATACATAAAGTCACCATGAGTCAGAGCCAACGCAAGGCAACTAACAAGTGGCATCTAGTGGGTGGAGGACAGGGATACTGCTGAACATCCTAGAATGTTTAAACATCCCACAATGACATCCCACCACCACAAAGTATTAGCCAGTCCAAAGCGTCAACAGTACTGAGGTTGAGAAGCACTGGTTTAATAGGATTTATCCCTACTTATTGTTTTGATTATGAGTCATCTATCCACCAGTTACCTTTCAGCTAAATTTATAGACAATTCTTGCTATTGACACTATAATGTGGGTTTAATGCTTCCAAATGAAAGCCTACTGGGAGGAAACTATATTATATATATATATATATATATATTCTATATGGTGCCAATTCACAAAAGAAAAACAGTATTTATATTCCTTTTTAAAGAAACGTTTAATTTTGTAATAATTTTAAATTTAAAGAAAAGTTACCAAGATAATACAGACAGTTCCTGTACACTGCTCAGCCAATTACCCATTATTAGCCTCTTACATCACCTTAGTACATCTGTCAAAACTAAGAAACCAAAACTGGTACACTACTATTAACTAAACTCCAGATATGATTTGAATTTCACCTTTTCTATATCTTTTCTGTTCTAGTATCCAATCCAGAATACATTACATTTTTTATTTCATCCCTTTATTCTCTGCTCATCTGTGACTGTTTTTCAGTCTCTCCTTGTTTTTTATATCATTGAGAATTTTGAGGATTACTGGCAAGTCATTTTGTAGAATATCCTTTCATTTGGATTTGTTGGATGTTGTTCTTATGATTAGGCTGAAGTTATGAGTTCTGGGGATCATATTCTATTTTAACAAATTCTAAACATGTATTAAAGGAGCTTTGGTGGTACAGTGGTTAAGACAACTGGCTGCTAACCAAAGCATTGGTGGTTCAAACCCACCAGCCACTCTGTGGAAGAAAGATGAGGCAGTCTGCTTCCATAAAGATATACAGCCTTGGAAACCCAATGGGGCCACTATGAGTCGGAATCAACTTGATGATTAATTGGTTTTTATTGAAACATGCATTAAGGACCCAAAACATTGTTATCACATATTTTGTTAGAACAGATAGCTTCTAAGTTTCCTATTCTGCCAACTCTAGGGTGATAAAAGAATGACAAAATTTTCAATTTGAAAAATAATTACTCTATAATTGCCACAAAATCTACTAAATCAAAGAACCTGGTTTTATTTAGAAGCTAAATTCTCAATATCCTCAATTCCAGATGCCAAATCTGACTTAAACTAATTAATCCCAAGAGAAAGCGAATATATTTAATCACAGATTAAAAAGACAAATTAAACATCAGTACATCAGTGTCATATTTCTTCCTTTATTATGCCTAACTAAAAATGCACAACAAAGAAATAAATATAGTTACACTTAACTCTTATTCATTATTTTTATTTTATCCTGGTTTAAATGGTTCAGATTCTACTCACCCGAGATTTCTAATTCTGCCCAATGAGATTTTTTCCCATTGGCTACCTCCTCTGCTGACATGATGGTATAAATTCTGCGAGGATCTGGAGGATCATATTTTTCCTTTGGCATCCCTATTAGACTGTTTAAAAAAAAAAAAGGATGATTAATAATTATTACAGCTTTAGAGAAAACAGAAAATGGAATGGTATCTTCCCATGCCAGGCTATTAAATCACTTTATACCACAAATTCCCACTTGAAGGAAAACTACATGTACTATAATATGTGAAGATCTTGCAGGAAATCCTTAACAGATGCATAAGGGAAATGTAATTAAGCAATAACACAGAACTTTGCAGTAAATCTACTCGAACCCTTCCCTGTTATTTAGTTGTCCTGCTTTCAACCGATTTACTGAGTATACTATGACTAGTAAGAATCACTGCTTGCCTCAGTGATATTCAGATATCCCATGCCTAAACAATCAATACTTGACATTCCCCTTGCCAAAAATATCAGTTCAGAAGTACCTAATAGTGGGTTCCGGCAAGATGGCGGACTAGGCAGAAGGACTGCACAGACCCTCTTCAACAAAGAAAAGGGAAACCAATTAACACAGACACAGAAGATAATTGTGGACCCCTGAGCCTTGAAGGGAAGGATACAGAATTGGACTA